AATTCAGAAAACTCTATCGACCAATAATGTGAGATTTTTTTGGTCCCTGAGCACCCCAGGAAGAAAAAGATTCCATATTCTTTCACATAGAAACAAAAGTACTTTATCATATAATATTGTCATAATACAAGTTAATAATAGAGATAAGTCTATGAACTACCTGGAAGTCCTTTGTAGAAAATTTCCCACATTCACCAGCATATTACAGTTTGTAAAGCACTTTCACACATAATTTATTTACAACCACCTCTGAAAGTACTGTGAACACCATTTAACACATGAGGAAACAAACCAGAGAATCAGAGTGATCTCCTCAATGTCATACAAAAAATATAAGCCAATACTCAAAAGATCTCTGACTAAAACATTTCAATATTTTTTCACTGTATCACTCTTAAGAACTGCTGCTCTGGTTACTGAAATGGAAAGCAGGCTGAGACCTCAGCCAGGCCTCAGAGTTGCTGATGGCTAATGGACAGAACGAGTCTCATAAACTTCATATTTTTCTAAAGAAACCATAAAGAAAGAACTGAAAAATGAGAAGAAAGAATTCTGCAGACATTTAAAACTACTCAGTTCAATCCACAGAAACTGCTCAGAAAAAAGGTCTTTAAAAAAATTCCTAAGTAAAAAAAAAAATTTAACCTAAATTCATAGAATCAAAGGCCACCTTGGGACTATATCCTTATGACTAAAGCCAGGGAGATAAGGGGTCAGGAAGGTACCAGGTTACTGTATGACTGCCTTATTTTCGACTGCCAGCTCCTAGAGTACAAATCTCCATTCACCTAACCAAGCAGCAGCACAGGTTAATGGGGTTTTTACACATGCTTCTTGGTGATGTAACTTCCTAATGATCTATACCTGTAGGGACTGACTGTTTAAAATAAAAGCTCAAAAACCATTTGTGGGGGATGTGGCTCAAAGTCCAATGATACAAGAGGACATGGGAGCCAAAATTCCTGGGCCTAAGAAGGCTCCAGAGCTGTCATGGTCTCCCTCACTCTTTCAGTCATGCTATTCTGCAAAATGATTACACAACCTCGATTATCTCTTATAAGGTTCCTTAATCCCCTCCTCACCCAGTTTACAACCATGGACCATTGTTACACTCACTCCCTTAATATACACCTTTAACTCCCTTGCCCTATTCTCCCTTACAGTCAAATATGCCTAAAAAATGCTAACCCTGGTTAAATACAACTCTGCCCCTAGTCAGTACCTGCAAATGCACAGCTGAACACACGCCAAGCTGATTAACTTCACTTTAAATAGAAGACCTCTAATCCCAAGGGGGTCTTTGGTGTTCCCAGTTATCCTAAGCCCACTTCCTTACTCCAGTCACTCTCTCATGCTCCCAACATGACCACTGTATGCCCTTTTCTCTCCCTCCAAATCTTCCTTTCCTTCCCTCCCTTCATTAACAGATGTCCTTGCTATTTTGCCAAGAGAAGCAAACCAGAAGGAACTTTCCACATGCTCCTACCACTGCACCCCCTACCCACTTGCTTCTAAGGCCTGTATGTTCTGCCTTCCCTCCTGTTACTATGGAAGAACTATCTGTGTTCTTCCCTAAGGCCAACCCTTAGCTAAGGATTAGATTCCATTCCTTCTTACCTCCTTAAGGACATTACTCAGGCAATTTCTCCCTTCTCTACTGGATTATTCCAAGAGTAAACAAACAGATGCTAAAATATTTCCCATCCTGGGAGGGAAAAAAACCTAACCCTCAATCCCATACTCATCCAGCAACCATTCTATTTATCTGTACCCCCAACTCCCCTTTACAGAAAACTCCTTAAGGGATTTCTATATTGTTATCTCCAATTCCTCTCCTATTCCTGTATTTGTGAACCAAACCCGATTAGACTTTCACCTTCATGGTCCCTCCACCACTCCACTAAAACTACTCAAATGGGTCCCAAAAAATGACTCCCATGTTGCTGAAACCAATGTCATTCTCAGGCTTCAACTTAACTAACCCAGCTGTAGCACTGGACACAATTCATCACTCACTCAATCTTGGAGTTCTTCCATCACTCTCTTGATTTCCCTCCTTCCTTCCTCACTAGACAC